AAAAAAAAAAAAAAGCTTATTGCAAAAGCTTAATTAAAAGTTCGGTGTGTAACATTCAGGAGGATCTATTGGCAGAAATGGGATATAAAAGAAAACATACCCAGGTTTTCATTTGTGTATAATCGCCTAAATGTAGGAATCGTTGTGTTTTCTGTTACTTTTCATTACCAGATAGGGCAGATAAGTTTGGTATTGTATGATTTTAGCACAACTTCCACCCCCAGAATGTTACATACTTACATACATACTTTTTATGTTTCAAGACTAAAATATCTCTAAACTTAGGACATGTCGCAAGCTCCGCCTGTACGTCTACCAGTCCCATATGTTAATTAGGTCAGTATCTGCACCTAATACCGATATTGGACCGCCTTGATTACAACTCTACTGTTTATTTAAGGATTTACTGTGACAGGAGGCCGGAAATTCAGCAAATTTTAAGAGCTTGGGTAAAGCTTAAAACATCTAAAACTGTTTATTCATGACTCCTACAGAACCACTTTGTGTAAAAACTCCTTTGCTGTGTTAATCAGCTCTCACCTGGCTGCTGTGGGAGCAGGAATGTGAGGAGTTCCCACCTGGCTGCTGCCCAGAGGTCGGGGGGGGGGTTGGGCTCTATCGTTTTTTTTTTGCCCTGAGGACTGAACAAGATGCAAACTGGTATGGGAGGATTCGTCAGCAGCAGCTTTCGCTCCACTTTAAACTGCGCAAACAGTGGCTCAGCTTTTCCCATTGTACCCACGTGTTAAGTGTTTGTATTCAGGGAAACGCGTACAACTTTAAAGAGTCAGGGGGCGGTGTTTACTGAGCCTGGTGGGAAATACTGTCAGTGGCACAAAATTCTGCGTCACTGCAATTTTTCAATTTAGTGGAACATTTACTAAGACTACAGATGTAAATAGGATATGACGCAGAGCTGTTGCGACACATATGAAAAGCAGTGTTGTGCAAAAGAGTGTTTTCTACTGCTGAACTTTATAACAAATTAATTCATTAATCTAATCTTTGCTCGTCTTCAACCCACAATTTGAAGCTTGTATGTGTGGAAATATTAGTTAGAGAGATGAACATTGATTAGAGACTGAATGTGTTAAGAAAGGTCACTGGGTTCTTACTGTAAACAGATGAAATAACATAACAGGTTTTTAATTGGCTTCATTCATATGACACTGGACTGCAGCTGCTAGTAGCCATTAAAAGGGAAGGGAAATTAGTTAGTTTAGTAAGTTGGATTAATTAGGAAAGGATTAGGAAAATGGCTGTTGAATTTCCGCCTCTTTTGTTGTGGGGATGAGCGGAGAGCTTCTTAACTAAACTTTATAATGTATGCTTTAATTAGCTGCAGTTTCTACTTAGTCTCACTCTCTCACCAAAGTGTTTTTATTGCCTGACGTGTTGCGACCTGGCGATTCTCTCCCTCTGCATGTCTCCGATAAAACAGATTATACACCCGCCTTTCTCGTTTAAATGTCAGACTGCTTTTTCCTTCACTGCAGCGGTCAGTCTGCGGCCTTTCCCTCCTCACGTACTTAGCACCGACAAACAGGAATACCTTAAAGGACCAGTGTGTAGGATTTAGTGGCATGTAGCGTCCTTACGTGACAACCTGGAAAGCCTCTTCTCCCGCTCCTAAAGAAGGGGCTCAAATCTTTTTTTAGTAAATATCTTCTTTTGGTTTATCCCTGAGCTCGGGTTAAGGTGACAATATTTAGAAAGACCCATCAAAAAAGAGAACCTGTGTAGTGCAACTATACAATTATTCACTGATGCATGACACTATTTCAGTCCGTGGATTTCTCTTCAGGCTATTTTTCATAAAGTTCCTCTTTCACTTTTAAATGTTGCATCACATTCAGTGCAAGAAGTGTTCAAACAACAACAGCAACAATGCAACACTTTAAAAATACAAGTAAAAGTCCTGCAGTCGAAGTAGAAGTTACAAAATGTACTTAAAGTATTAAAAAGGAAAACACTCATCATGCAGAATAGCCCCTGTTCGTGTTATATTATTGGATCATTATGATTACTGGTGTATTCATCTATTAGATGTACTTTATTGTGGTATTTGCTTGAAGTGGAGCTAATTTAACTACCGGTACCTAATATGCTGCTGGCTGGTTTAATTTTAGATTGTCTATAATTCATTTAATATATATATATAGAGAGCGATATATAGACAGTATCAAGTCTGTATAAAGTACAGATGAGACGTTATGAAATCATATTTTTTCAATAATTCAAATTTAGACTGTGAAATGTTGAAAAGCAAATCCTAAATAGTTCAGATAAACAACCAAGGGCTTAATAATATAAGCATTAAATAACTTTACTTAATGTGGGAGTTTGGGTTCAGAGTTTGGGAAAGTTTTCAGCCTGACAGATACCTGAATGAAACTGTGAACCTTTTTCTAATAAAACCTTATATGAGCAGGTTCTGCCTTATCTGTACTGCAAGAGCTTTTTGTATTCTCATGTAAATGTCAAGACTTGTGTATCAAGCATGTGTAGGTGTGCTCTTGCATATAAACGACCAGGTGATAGTTGAACTGGTGGAGCATGGAGGGGGGAGCAGAGTTATAAAGAGTGGATAAAAGGACAAAAATCATAAAAATACAGCTTTAAAACCTGCTCAGAAGTTACATTCAACTTTAAGTTTATGGTTTCAAACTGTAAAAGTCTTCTGCCTGGCAGAGAACCACTTCTCTCGCGTGTGTGTCAATCGTCGTCTTCTTTTATTTGCTCACAAGCCAAAACCTGTAGAGCTACAGTCATTGTTTTCTGGCCTGTTCTCCTTCCTCATGCTTTGTCAGAGATGTAATAACGATCTGTTTCACAAACGGTAAAAAAAAAAAAACGTGCTGACAAATATTTTACTAAGATAAACTTTACCAATGAAGGCCTGCCTCCCTCCAGTTGTGTCTTCAGCATACGGAGAGTGAAAGTTCTGTTTCTAAAAGTCTGTTTCTGTGGTTTGGAGTTCAGTTTCCCTCCTGTGTTCCTCTTCGTACTTTCACATATCAACCTTATTTTACAGTTTACTGATCACTTTAAGCCATATTTGAGCTGTATTCAGTCACTGCTGAGGCAAACCGAACTTTCCTGCTGTTCCTGCTTCATATTAAAAGCTTTTCCTCCGTCAAACTGTGAAGAAGTTATAGTTGTTGTAAGTTAGCGGAGTTTTATTAGTGGTGCTATTCTTCAATGAACCAAATATAGACATCCTGTCTGCTATTTGATCAGTGTTAAATATTACAGAGAGGAGTAGTAATAGAAACGGTGAGCTGAAAATGGCTGTAGGCTGTCACTGTGGTTTGTGACTAGCACCTACATTATGTCATCAGGGTAAAGAAATTGACCTCACTCCTCCTATACGTGATAAACACGCTCGCTGAGCTGATGTTTGATTCTATTGTCGTTTACATGAGTATTAACTAAATATTTAAAATAATTAGTCATTTAATTTTTGCCTGAAAAATTTGCAAAACATGACATTTGTGTCTGCAGGTCCGTCTTTAAGGGCAGCCTGTGTGTATTCTGAAAAGCAAACCGCATAGCAAAAATGTCTCTCTGCACCGCTCGCAGAGGTTTAAGCTATTACGCTTGAGTACACAGTGATTATAGAAGGTGACTCATATGAGTGTATCAACATTTTTATCAACTCCTGTCTTCTCTCATCTACATTACGGAGGCTGGACAGTAAAGTGACAATGTTACGACAGATTTTAATAAAAAAGCAATCTGAAAGTATAAAAGTATTTATTTAGTTGGTTACAGGTTAAAGTCTGGAGGCTAAATCTACCAAACATTTCCAGCCGTTATCTTTTTTTATGTCGTTTTTCTTAAATAATATGTAATGTAAAATCTCTCCTCCAGGGAATCACTTAATGATGTTTTTTTTTTCGTTCCGAAAAGAAAACATAGAAAACCACAGCAAATACAGAGCCCTCTGAATAAATGGAAGTCTAATTGTGGAACGAACCTCTTTGTGTGTTTAGGATGAGGTTCTCGCGGTGTCCAGGAAGATGGTGGTGCGGGTTGAGGACCTGGTGCTGTGGTCATGTGCACAGCCAGCAGGTTGGAGCAGCAGCCTGAAACTGCCACCCTGCGGGATCAACGGCCTCCACAAGCCTCTGCAGAGCAGCGATGGTAACAGCAGTAACACGCCCAGCAAGAGCAGCGAGCCGCTCAAAGACAAACCTGAGAGTAAGAAACACTCAAAAACACTTATTAAACACCCACAAAGTGATTTTGAGATGCTATCAAGTAGGGAATTGGAAACTATACACATACATAAATACACATTTGTATGGTACAAGATTGTCATAGTTCCTCTAACAGTTGTTGAATGAAGTACAGAATGAATCAATATTTAAATCTTATAATTTCTGTTTTTCTGCATGTGTTTAACAACAAAAGCATACCACAAAAATTAGGCATTAAGTCCTTTTAGCCTCCGAAATCTAATTTTCCCCAGCTGCAGAGCCTGTACACGTCACTGGACGGATACTCCAACAGATGATCTTATTCACCACAGAGGGATCTTTGGTTCACATGTCTCATGTCTTTTCTTCTCAGACGACCTGGTGGAGCATCAGGGCATCAAAGTGCTCAGCTACCCGCAGTATTGCCGCTTTCGCTCTCTGCAGAGACGCGTCCAGGATGGAGCGAGGGGGCCGGTGCTGCAGGACCCACATCTGCTGGCCCTGGGTGCCGTCAAAGCGCTGCCCAACACCCGACTGATGTACTGCAGGGACACCTTCAGCCACCCGACGCTGGAGAGCAGTGCCAGTTTCTCCTGGCAGTTCAGTGAGTGCTTCAGGGAAACCTGTCCACTGTACTGCAGGAGGACGTACCAGAGCATGAACCATACTGGATTGTTGTGGCAGATACTTGATGATAATAACAAAAAACTTTTTTTAAACGTGGTTAGTAAGTTTATTGTTCCACAAGCACAGTACTCTGATACTGGATTAACGCCACATGTTCCCAAGTTTTTGTGTCAATTAGTTTGTGGTCGTTTGTTTATACACAACCTTATTTAGGGATGATTAAAGCAAAAAAAAACTGTAAAAACTGTAATCAGCAGCAGATTAGAAAACCTCAAAGGTAAAACTGGGCTGAATTTGCTTGAAAAGTTTTAGACTTCTAGGTTATATTTAACTGCTGTGAAATCAATGTATTGTAGTGTATAGTTGCTGAAAGAGAGTCAGTAAAATGCTGCTTTAAGCATTTATTTGTATCGTAGATGTCTAAAAAAAAAAAAGTTTAAAGATTACATACCAGAAAATCAAATTAAATGTATCATTAAATGTTTCAGTCTTGCGTTCTTTGAATCTTAATGTACGTTATTTGTGTTTTCGTTTCTGCAGGATGTCCGTCTCTCAGTCTTCGAGGGCGACCTCGCAAGAGGAGAGGCCGAGACGGCAAAGACTCCCCGACCTCCAGCCAATCAGAGTCCTGGATTGAGAGGATGAAGGTTTGTTCTTTATATCAAGTATTCACGTCTATGTTGTTCAAGGTTGTCTCATTTTTAGAGGCTTCATGTGGACATTTTGTTTATGTGTTTAGGTAAATATTATATTCTTCTTCTGTGTTTATTTAAGTGCTTATGAAACTGTTATTTTGAGGTGTCTCTTTTGAAAGTGGAGGGTAAAATCTCTACCTAGAGTTCGTCCCTCTGAAACCTTTAAATGAACTGAGCTCAACTCTGCACTGGTTTAGAAGCAGACTCCTCTTCAGGACGTCTGCTGACCGAGACATTTTGGCCTCAGAAATAACAAACACTTGTTAACACTTATCCTTTTAGTGCAGGGCAGTTCAATGATACATATGTTCTGTTTGTTCCTGTTTTAATACTGGATGTGTCCCTCTCAGGAGAACGTGATGGGCAGTGTGGAGGTCGGCTGTGAGGGCAGCTGGCTCCCTCACCCTGAAGAGCAGCTGTTCCTGGATCAGCTCTTTGCCTTCATGGACCGTCAGGGCTCACCCATCCACAAAGTCCCCAACCTTGGCTTCAAGAAGAGTGAGTCTCAATGATTTTCTCTCTCTTTAGTTCTTTCTGTCTCTCTTTTTTTCCCCTTTCAAAGGTGAATCAAACAAGAGTGCTCTTGACATTTGAGAAATGAAAGAAGGTCACAGGTTCTATTCTTTCCCATCATGCTCTCTGCTTTTGGCTAAATCAGACCAGCCGTCAACTTTCTCCGACCCTTCAGAAGACTTTTCTTTCGACCTTTATTTAACCAGAATTGCACCACTGAGATAAAAAGTTTTTCAAGAGGCCAAGGCAGTAATAACAGTCAAATACAGACCGACAACCTAGAACAGATAACACTCAGTTTATATCAAAATATAAAAAGTTATCAAAATAAAATGATTAAGTCTAAAACGTCACAGAAAAGATCACATGCTATAAACAGCAGCTCTCTGTCAGGATACAGCTGGATGCAGTTCAAAACTCCTGTTCGACTGGTTTCACGATCACGCTTGTGTCTGTGTTTGTTCAGTTTACTGCAGAAAATGTTATTTGAATGTGCAGTGAGATTTTTGGCCTCTTGGGTGGCAGCAGTTTTGGTCCATCCTGCCTGTGGCTTCATGACCCACCAGGAACATTTCAGAAGCGTTTTGCTCGCCACATTATCTTAACTTGCTCAGATTTTGTTGATTTAATAATTACTCAATTTATGTGCTTCTACCAGGCTTCTACTAGGTTAGTTAAATTTGTTTTTACGATCGGGGGTCTGTTTTATTTTGAAAAGTTTCTGTGTCGGACTTCATGCCCAAGCAATCTGCTCTGTGCTGCTTCCATCAAAAATAGACCGGCTGCACATTTTCAGCATAGTAGAGCAGAGAGCCGCTTCAGGGACACTTCTGAAACACGCTACGGTGCTTCTGTGGAATCACTAACATCTCCAAAACAGTACAGTGGTGGAGCAAACAGACGATAATCCTCTGTAGGTTCATCACCAACCCCCCTCACGTTATCACATAAAGATATCCAATATAGGGGCTTTACGAAGTATTAGGTAAATTTAGGCTTTACGTAACTAAATAATTAAATTATTTTATGTTCTTTTTTTAGTTATATTTGATTACATTTTAAGAATATGGCTTCACCATCTTTATGGCTTCACCATCTATTATTGAGTTAGCAGCTCAACTTAAATATAACAATATATATTACATCTGATGAATGGAACTTGGTTTGAGGAGATGAATAATAGTCTTTAAAGGAGGAGAGCTGGAAGGCTGAAGACGTGGATGTTTGGCAGCTGAAATCATGATGCGAGTTGTGGTTCTGCTCTGTTTGCCTCTGAGGATCATTCAAATCATAATCATAATTAAATCAGCAGTTGAACCCACTTTGTAGAGCTGCAGATATAAAAAACAAAGGAGGGTTTGTTTCATCTGGATGAGCAGGAGAGAATAAAGGCATCGTGCACATTTGAAGTCTTTTGCAGATTGCTTTTATCAGAGCATATTTGTTTAGTCAAATTGTTAAGTGAGCGTTTTATTTCAGAATTAGATCCCGTTTTGCACTTTTATTGGCTCCGTGTTTCATATTTTCACTTGCCGCATTGGGCCGCTGGGTTGTAACAGGTCTGTCCTCTCTGTCCTCAGTTGACCTCTTCCTCATGTACTCTGTGGTCAGACGGCTCGGGGGCTACAAAAAGGTGAGTCACTTCGAGTCCCTTCAAGTTACTTCAGCTTGTTTAACCTTTATTTAAAGTAATAGTTTGACATTTTGGGAAATATGTGTATTAGTTTTCTTGCAGAGAGTTGCATGAGAAGATTAAAACCACTCTTGTCTAGCCTGCCTTTGTTTTGTCATTTTTGTACAGTTTTAACAAATGACACGTGAATTATTATTCTTCAGAAGTTCTGGTAGGTGGATTGGGTTACCTTTGGACAGAACCAGGCTAGCAGTTCCCCCCTGTTTCCAGTCTTTATGCTAAGCTAAGCTAACTTGCTGCTAGTTGTAGCATTATATTTACTCTACAGGCATCTGATTCCAGATGGCAGAAACAAATGTTGAACTATTCCTTTAACTACAACGGTTGTACTGCAGAATTAAATGAAGGATTTGAAAAACGAAATTGAATTGTTACAATTAACAATAATGACTATTTATGAAATTAATAACTTAAGTGAACCTGATGCAGTGAATTTTTAAATAACTAACATTCAGCGTTATAAACAAATATATTTGTGTCTTCAGAGTTAAACTGTGGAGCCTGAAACAATCAGTCATTTCACAGCAGCTTACAGTAAATAAACACACAGCAAAAGCAGCTTTACAATAAATGAATACAGAGAGACAGAAACAGGCGGTTCAGTTTCAGCTCAGTGCTGCACTGTTCACAACAAAAGACCCGTTCAGTCGTTCATTTCAGCCGCTGTACTGAACTGAGCCTTGTACTGAACAATACTGTATTATACAACATAGTGCTACACCCCTAATGACACATTGTGTAATGTATGTAATTGTTTCAGTCCTGCCACACACACTGACACACACACACTGACACCCCTCCACTCTGCTTAAAAATAAAATAAAATCAAGTTCAAATGAATTTCAGCGAACGCGCATCTCATTAGAATTAATTTGAACAGAACTGTGCAGTGAAATAATATAAGCAGCAGTGAGAACTGTGGATTGCTGTCAGCACATTAGCCACAAACCTGCTTTCCCTCTCCTGCCTCTCCTTGAAGTTCGACTATTTGTCAGTCTTAGTAGTCTTTACTCCCCCCTGTCACTGTAGACTCATACTAACAACCGCACCCTACTACGTAAGGGTCTAGTGTGTAACATGTAGACATATGATATTAATAGGTATGTTTTCATTAGTGTATAATCACGTGTCGCAAGCACCTCCTCCTCCTACACGCTTGGAACTGGAGGATGAGTTGAGGACGTTGCAATCAGCAATCGTACTACAGACAATGAAGCTGTTATTTTCCTAAATACAGATGAGTTTATTAGTCTTTAGATTAGTGGTCTTTTTTCACGCTTTGGGACGTGTTTTTCAAAGTGTTTAATATAGCACTGATGCCCGAGCCGTTGAGAGTGATTGACATTGGGGGGTTTTTAAACTTTGATGTAAGAGATCCTCACTCCCATTGTGGAGCTGAGTAGTAAATAGACTCGTTCGAGATGAGGCAGGCACGCACAGAATCTATTACTGGCGGGCGATGCACAATGCATGCTGGTTAGATTCGTGTCCAACTTATACCCGACTTGCTCTGACCTCAAACTAAGTCAAATTACAAATCACAATTTTCCTCAAGGGCCTTTACAATCTGAACATAAACTGGAAGAAACCTCAGGAAGAGCCACTGGACGGACAGACATGCAATAGATGTACATTTAGATATGCAATAGATGCCACATGTACAGAACAAACCAACAAAATTATCACCTTTATATACAAATGTATCACATTATATAAAAATTTTAATGACAACATTTCTAATATATGATTATTATAAAACATATGTGAAGAATGTGAATCCAGGAGGACATTCAAGCAACTTCAGATAAGACATAAGATCCTCCTCTCCACCATGGAGATCTCGAAAATATCAAATAAACCCAGCACCCGTTTCTTTTCTGCAGGATTTTAAACTTGATGGTCTTCAACTTTGTGTTTGTGTCACAGGTGACAGTGGACCGTCTCTGGAAAGTGGTTTATAACGAGCTGGGAGGATGCCCTGGCAGCACCAGTGCTGCTACCTGCACCAGGAGACACTACGAGAGGTCAGACAGAAACACTAACTGAATATAGATGCATTATTCAGGCTAAAAGTAATGTGAAAGACAGTGAACTAAGCTTCCTGTAACTTTGTGTTCGTCTCAGGCTGATGCTTCCTTATGAAGAGCACCTTAGAGCAGGAGGAGCAGAATTCAAAATCCCAGAATCCCCCATGCCTCCCAAACCCAGAGGGATAAGAGGAAGGAAACCACTTCCAAGAGGCAGAAAACCAGGACCCAAAGCCAAGGAGAAGAAGATTGCAACCCCTGCTTCTCCTTCTCGGACTGTAAGTGACAGAAAACTTTGAGGATTTGTCTGGAAACAAATGAGCTGATTTTAAAGTTTTTTTTTTTTACTATATTCTGTATCTTGCTGTGACAGACTACTCTTAACTACACATTCACACGTAATTACCCCCAGTTCCTTTTCTTTTGTTGCACCTTTACATTTTTTATTTCCTGAATAATGATAAATAACAAAAAGGCATATTTTGACAGTGGTGAGTTAATAAAGATCCGATGGGCTCGCCTATAAGTCAAAACAATCCAGTAATAGCTGGTTTTCACAACTCTGTACTACTATGACTCTAGAAAACAAAATAAATCAGGTAAACTGATGGTGCTTTACATTGTGTATAATGTATACAGCAATAAGTAACATGTACAGAATACAATAAATACAATAAAAGTGCAACAGCTGCTCCAAAAGACATTAACAAACCCAGCACAGACATCAGACGTGACCACTGATCTTCCTCTCTCTGGGCAGATTGTGAACACAAACGGCACCATGGTGGTGAAGAGAGGCAGAGGCCGGCCGCCGGGTACACGCAACAAGGCCACGCTGATCGCTCAGGCGAAGCTGCTGGCTCAGCAGCAGGCTAAAGCCAAAGCAGCAGCTGAGTCTCAGCAGCAGAGTCCTCTGCTTCCAGCCAGAGGTGGAGTCGGACCAGCAGCCAGCAGCGCACACAGGGTAACAGCTCAGACTCTACTGTACTGCAGGGACAATAAGATTTACAAAATCCATCTTCATCCATCCAAATATCAAATACTCACCATAATATAGCCTCAAAATAATAAAGCAAGGGATTTTTACCTTCTGTAGACTATGTAGTCTACAGAACTACAACATAGATATGATTTGTCACAGTAAAAATATGCTTTCAGCTGCTGTAGTCTGTGATGGATGGTGGATTCACAGGATGTTTAGTAGGAGCAGACAGAAGCAGAGCTGTGACTCTGGTCAGATTTTTAAAATAAGTCTTTGATCAGTCACTGATGTAAACAGACCTGCTGTACTGACAGCAGATCAATACCACACTTTTAACTGTAGAACCTTTGTTTAGTTTAGCCAGGGAGAACAGAGCAGGTAAGGCTCCCCCTGCAGGAGAGGAATGTGCATTCAACAAATAAAGTGTCCAGCAGAGATAAAACAATGATTTAAAGGTTTCTGCAATATTAAGTTTGTTTTCAGTCGGACCAGTTTCACATATTATCTGCAATTCTAGTGAGGTTGAGTGAGTCTTCGTAAGAATTTTCCAGAAAGAAGCTGTATTACATTGACGCATCGAGAGTATTGACAGGAAGTACAATTGTTAATTAGTTTGGTGATCAGCTGAGAACGACTGACTGAAAGCACTGAGCTTACAGAAGGAATGAAAGTTTCAGGCAGTTTGATTATGACTATAAACTGACAATGAAAGCTGAACAGTCTTTCTCTAATGGACAAACTGCAAATCTTTTTTATACGTTAAAAGAACTACAGTGTCCATCTTTTTAAGGATATTATTGAACCTTTTTTTAAATAAAACTATTTGTGAGAGGTTTTACAAGATTTAAATCTTCATTAGAAACTTGTGCTTGAGCCAGAAAGTACTGAGAGAAGGACTAACAGTGTTGGTTTAGATTTGTTGGCAATAAGAGAAATACAGAATAAACATCATCACAATCCATGACCTCCGTTTTCTTCTTCTCCCCTCCATCCCTGCAGCCCGCCCAGCCAGCTATCCTTCCCGTCAACATGCCCCTCACCCCTGACCTGTCCCCCATGTCCGCCCCCTTCCTCCCCTTCCAGCCCAAACCAAAGGAGCTGAAGCCGGACAGAGGGGAGTCTATGGCTCCTACTCCAGGTGTGCTCCTTTCCACTCTGCCTCGGCACTTTGTTGGAGGATCTCTGGGCGGCTTCAGCCCCATCAAAGGTGTGTGCCCCCTGGATGTCTTCCGGAGCCGCATTAGCCTCCAGAGAGGCCCGGAGAGCCCGGCCGTGACGCCTCAAGACTCAACCCAGCACCATCCGACCATCTACACCCTCC